CGTGGTTGTTTTTGTTTGATCTTATTTTTGCCTATTTTCGAGTATTTATTTTTCTCTTGACACAAAAGACTGGTCTGCTGTACTCGTCATTTTGCCTTCTCCTTTAAGTTCACTTTGTCCCCTTTCTATCGCGAGATCGTCGTTACTCCTCAACCGTTCCTCCAACTCTCTCTTTCTTTTTCTCTTTCTCTCTTTCAAACTCTCCCCTACTCTCTCTTTATTTCCCCTCCAGCCCTCCTCCATTCCCTCCCGCCCGGAAGATCCATTCCGCTCAACGTTTCCCCCTCCCTCTCCGCTCCGTCTGTATTTATAGCAGCCGATTCGTTTCCGCCTGACGAACTGCCCGCAACTCCGCCACAGTCTCGACCCCTCGGGTCTGTTAACCGCAACGCTGTTAAACCTCGGGGTGAACCATCATACATACTGTTGACTCTATTGTCCCTAAGATCTTACCTCCGTCGTATACACCGTTCCATTGAAGCCTATGATCTATCTTTCCAACCCGTCATCGTGCCGGATCTATAGTCGTGGCCATGCAGGGAAACGGTAGATCGAGGGACGGCACCGATAGTGCTCCCCTTGTACGTCTGGCGCATCGTCCCTAATGCTGACGAGGGAACCCCTGCTCACACAATCAACCTCTACAGAGACCAGTGTCCTCCCTTCTCTCTCATTTCGAGAACCTATCCCATCGCCGAACCCCGTCCGCCTCTCCAAGTGGCCCCCGCGACCCGACCTCGTACCTGAAATCCCCTGAACCCGTTGACGATTTTCGCTCCGCCCGCGCCTCTCTGGACTTGTCTCGTCCGCGGTCTCCTTGGGTCCCCTCCACAGATTTTCAGAATGGCCAGGGGACCGAGTATAGAAATGGCGCTCCGCGTCAACGTGGGGTGTCCCCGGGACGATCGCCAGGCAGACGGCAAAGCAGACCTATGTCGATGAGCCTACATTCCTCGCCGCAACTGGCGCCCACCCTCACAATAGATTCACCGCGATCCCCTCCACGAGGCTTTGGGACGCATCCAGCCCATAACGAGGATATCCGGGCGTCTCGCAGTCCACCGAGTGCTCCGCGGGAGTCATTACCGCCCAGGCCGATTGCGCAGGCAAACTCCCTTACTCGACCGACCACCCCTACCTATCCATCGTCGGTGCCGACCGAACACAGAATTGCTTCTCACCTGTCTCCAGGCCATCCAGACTCCGCTGTATCGACGCGCGACAGTCCGTCAGAGCGACGGTTGAAGAGTGCTTCGTTACCTCCACCCGCTAACCGAGCGGAGAAGCCTAAAATCCCGGCCAAACCCGCTGGTTTGTCATTCAATGATGGGAATGGCCTGGCTCCTCGTCAGGAACGTCCCCATGTAGAGGATGCGACATCTCCCTTCAATACGCCCCCGGGCAGTCCTGACAAGTCACCGCCGAAAGTACCATCTGCCACAAAGCCGCAGCCGCCGCCTTCCCCATCTCGACCCGTACCCCCGCCAGCTCGGAGATCATTCGACGAAAGGAGACCTCATCCGAGTGCACTTGGCTTGCCAGAGCGGCCACAACCTCCTCGGCGGCCATCTCCGAGGCCTACACGAGACACGAAGCCCCTGATGGTACAAATTCCGCCGCGGCAAAGCTCTCAGCAGGAAACCATGTCTGCTATTCCACATACCACACATCGTTTCCAGAGTTTTGACAGCCCACGGGAGCCCCCTGGCCTGCCCCCGCGGCAGCCGTCGATCGCACGTCGAGGTGCTCGATCTCCAGGACCACAGCTTGATCGTTTAAAGAGTCCGGTACAGCCTGAGTGGCCCCCTCGACCGGAATTGCGCCCACATCATACCGGTGAGGTTCATACGCCGAGACAGCTTCAACGACAGCCGTCGTTCTCGCGAGAAACTAAGCCCGGACCTCCCCCTGCCATTCCGGAGCGCCCTGTTGTTGATCGGCCGGTTGTGGAGAGGCAACCCGTACGTCCAGTTCCCGCCCCGAGCGAGGATGAGCAAACTCTCGATGAGGCCCCCGCCCCACGGACGGACTACCCGGATGCGTCTTTGGCTAACCGGCGACCGCCGCTTCTGAAGAAAGGCCCCCAGGAGATCCCGACGCGCTATGACACGCGACTCATGGATGTGTGTGGAAAATATGTATGCACCACTGGCTATTTGACCCGAGTTTGGGATCTTACGACGGGCGAACAAATCATGACTCTCAGCCATGGCGAAACCGTCAAGTGTCTGTCGCTGGCTTTCAAACCGGGGAACGGTCTGGAGGACGAGGGACAGCGACTGTGGCTTGGTACCAGCGCTGGTGATCTTCACGAGGTTGATATTGCCACTCAGTCGGTTGTAGCGTCACGATCCTATCCCTCCCGCAGGGAGGTGATCAAGATCCATCGGCATAAGAAAGAGATGTGGACTCTAGATGACGAGGGGCGCTTGCTCGTCTGGCCACCTGACGAGTCCGGGACCCCTAATCTCCAGTATAGCTACCATAATCCTTATGACCGGGTTGCGCGTGGGCATACCTTCTCGGTCGTCGTAGGCGATACGCTGTGGCTGGCAACGGGTAGAGAGGTACAAATTTATCGACCCAATGCACGCGACGACGTGTCCTTCAAAGTACTCAAGCGGCCGCTGGGCTCACAGCATTCGGGAGAGGTGACATCTGGTGCTTATACTACTAAAGACGGCGGCCGTGTGTACCTGGGACACGCTGATGGAAAGGTGACTATATACTCGGCTCATGATTATACGTGTCTCGGGGTTGTAAATGTCAGTGTCTACAAGATCAACTGCTTAGGTATTGTCGGGGACTACCTTTGGGCTGGGTACAAGACGGGCATGATCTACGTGTACGATACGTCAACCAATCCGTGGATGGTGCGGAAGGATTGGCGGGCTCATGACAGTCCGGTGTCTGCATTCCTCCTCGACACCAGCAGCGTGTGGACGATGAACCGGCTTCAAGTGACGTCGTTAGGCACAGATAACTGCATTCGCCTGTGGGACGGTATGCTGGAGGATGATTGGATGGGTAAGTTGCCTGGATCGTCACTGCATACACCAGAACTAACGATCGGACAGAATCTCGAATGCAATCCAAGGACGTGGAGTACTGTACCTTCCGGGAAATCCGCGCGTCAGTTTTGACGTGGAATGCCGGTGCCTCCACCCCAGGCAGCGCACGCACATCGACCTTTATCCAAGATGCTATTCATCCTGAGGACCCGCCGGAGATTCTAGTCTTTGGATTCCAGGAACTAGTGGATCTCGAGAATAAGAAAATCACAGCCAGTGCGTATCTCGTACCTGAAATTTCGGTCTAGTTGATGTTGACTAACGTGTTGCAGAGAGCTTGCTTATGGGAAGTAAGAAGAAGGAGAGTAGTGAGAAAGAGCATATCAGCCGTCAGTACCGCGTGTGGATGGAGCATCTAACACGGGTTATCAACGAGTGCATGCCCCTGGACGAGTCGTATGTGCTTTTGCATAGCGCGAATATGATTGGTCTGTTCACATGTATCTTTGTGAAACATAAAGAGCGACAACGGATCAAGGATATGAGCGCTGCGGAGGTGAAGCGTGGAATGGGTGGATTGCATGGAAACAAGGTACGCGTGCAGCATGACATTGTCTGCACTCCAGCTAACTGGAACCTGTAGGGCGCACTGATCCTCCGCTTCATTCTTGACGACAGTTCTCTCTGCTTTGTGAACTGCCATTTGGCAGCCGGGCAGTCGCACACGACACATCGCAACAATGATATCGCCGCCATCCTGGAGTCGGAGTCCCTGCCGCCTGAATCTAGTCTCATGACTCGCGCAGATCGTTTTGTCAGTGGCGGGGATGGATCAATGATCATGGATCACGAGATTTGTATCTTGAACGGAGACCTCAACTATCGCATTGACTCTATACCGCGCAACGTCATTATCGAGGACATTCGCAACAACAAATTTACGAAGCTGCTCGAACGGGACCAATTGCTGGCATCGAGACGCAAGAACCCGGGTTTCCGCCTGCGCTCTTTCATCGAGGCCCCGATCACGTTTGCGCCGACATACAAGTATGACGTGGGCACAGATGACTATGACACTAGCGACAAGAAACGTTCTCCCGCCTGGTGTGACCGCGTCCTGTACCGGGGAATCGGCCGGGTGAAGCAACTCGAATACCGACGACACGAAGCTAGAGCCTCTGATCACCGTCCAGTCAGCGCATCATTCAAACTCCGGGTCAAGACCGTCCAGCCCAACGAACGCGCGGCGGTCTGGGAATCCTGCCAACAGGAGTTCCAGAAGGAAAAGCGCCGACTTGCCTCGGAAGCAAGGTACGTCCTACTCCGCTACCATACACCTCTCCACCCAGCCAGATCTGCTAACTGAGAACCTCACAGCATTGACTACCTTATCAGCATTCTCGGCACCGAACCCCAGCAAGCTCGCGCATTGATTCTGGGGGATGGGAACTAATTCACCCTGCCTTTACACCCCCCCTTCGTTCATTATTTCCCTAGATGCAGTTACATTGGCTATTGAGCGGATAAGAAGATTAGAGATTAGCGCCAGGCGATGTGTACGACTAATGATTTCACGATAGATATGTATCATGAGCTGGGTTAGATTATGGGGATGGGTAGAGCCTATAGTTACTTGGCTTAATTTTAATTGTGCTGTATCTATACGATGCTGGCTTTGCTGGAATATCAATCGACTATATTCTTTTATTTATTGGCACCTACGTACAGCCATCGATTGCAGATCACCACCCCTCCCAATGGTGGTGAATTACCAGATGCGGTATAGCGTGCCTAATCCGGTCAAGCGTCTAGCTGCCGCTTGGCGTCGTGGTGCGTGGTCTTTAAAGATGGACGGCAAGATAATCTCATGTGGGGCTGACTCTGACTCGACAACTTCAACAACTTTGGCAAGTTCCGAGCCGTTGTCACATCGACCTAATCCATTATAAATAAACCCATGGTTGTAAACTTGTAATGACCTCCCATTCAATGACAGTCATCACTGAGTCGACCTCAGCTTCATTTGCGGAGAATGCCTGTGCTGCTTGCAGAGAGCAGAAGAGGGGATGCGACAAGACGTTGCCATCATGCGGCCGGTGCACCAGGTACTGCAATGCATCTTTGACTAGATATATTTTTGTCTTACAACACAACTGAGAATGGGAAAAGGCTGAATCGTTCGTGCAATTATCTCTGGCATACCGCCTCGGACATATCTCCGTCTGAAGGGCTGGCTGTTTTGCTGCGGCCGGAGTTGGACAACCCCGAAGCGCCTGGTCTTGACGTCGATCTATTGTACTGTAATATGCTGCACCAAGCCCTGGAAGAACACGGTTCGACTCTCGCTCGGCTTGTGGACGAATTCCTTTCCTACAGCCTGCCATGGTTTCCGGTTGTGATGGAGCGGCCTTTTATGGAAAGCCTTGAGAAACTAGGTCATAAACATAATGCACATACTGCTCTACTCGCTCTCACCATGCTTCTTGTCGTGCAGGGAACCCGACCTGATAGAGCTACAAATCCATCACATCGAAATTACATCCTGTGCAAGGATCTTTACGCTGCTCTTCAGCTAAGACGCGCGCCTTCATTACAACTGGTACAGAGCGGTCTTCTGATAGCCTTACACGAGACCGGGGAATCCTCCCCGGGAGCGGCCTCACTGACCATAGCAAGCTGTGCGAGGTTAGGCTACTCAATGAAACTAAATATAGACGATGGGAGTGGTTACGAAGATTATCTCTCCTGGGAGGCTGCTGAGGAACGAAGACGGGTGTGGACTGGGATATATTTGCTGGATCGGTATCAGCGTCTCATGAGTAACTGCAATTCTGGAAGGGGCTGCTGACCTTATTTTGATACAGCGTCATATACCAGATAGCAACCGAATTCAAAGCGCCTCATGTATTAGAAGACCTGGCAGATCACTTCCGACTGCCTGTCGATGATGCATGTTTGAGAACAAACAAAACTCAGGCGACCCAGGCTCCCTCCCACCAGCCGGTGTCCGTGCCGGTCGATGTTCCAGTCTGCTATTACGCCCGGGAGATCCAGGCTGTCCGTTTTCTCGGTGAAGTACAGTTGCTACAAAGACACATCGACGTCAATTCGCAGCCGGAGAAATTCGAGTCTCTGGATCACCGACTAATGCAGTTCGCGGAAAGGCTGTTTGAGCAGACGCCCCAGGGGTGGGCAGTCTTATGTGGAGCTAATGCGATCACCATAACGTGAGATCCCTACTAGTACCCATCTAGGACCGGTACTAATGGACGATAGGGCTGCATTGGCCCTTCATCGAATTCGAATTGATCGTGCGGTGAAGTCCCAAACCCTAGGGGCATCTGATGATGCAGAAGCGTCGCTTCTAGCCTTGACTTCGTTTCTTAATATGGTCCGCGATACATGCGATAACTTTAATATGCTCAGTGCGCAGGAGAAAATTCCATCTGCACCGCTACCTGCTGTTGTGTGCACGGGGGAAGCTGTCCTTACTGGGATTAGGATGAAGGAGCTGCTCGGAGAGCAGTTTCAGCTAGACTATGAGCCATTCCGACTGACATTGCTTTACGCGAGGAAATCGTGGAAATTGGCTGGTATGTGTAGCACCTCATGTACCATGGATTCGGAATGCTAACTCCCTCAGATCGATATTTGCAGCAAATGGGATGACCGTTGAATCTCGCTCGTGCCTCAAATACCTGTTGTCAATCTCCCTCAACTTGTCTCATTGAAAGCATTGCTCATCTGTGCCACTATTGATCGGACTTCCGATCGAGCATCGTCCAGAAGCTGCTTAACAGTCGTCACCTCCTTAATGGACCCAACTCCAGCGCCCCTATTTGTATTGTGAGTAGAGCTCCGAATATTTACACGTAGACACTCACGCCCATATAATGGTTCTATCATTTTCTCCCTTTTCTCTAGCGTCCCTGTGTCGTTTAACGATTTCTTCATCTGTAACGCCGCTCCGAAAGTCCTCGTAGCTGCGACCGATGATGGCCCTACCGTCATATTGCGTAGGCCAGAAGTCGGTCGAATTAAACACATCGTGCTTCCGTGATTTAACTGTCGTTGTGGCCCCGTCAGTTGTGGAAACGAGCTTTTCTTTTGTGGAATCCGGAGCTGTGCATTCAACAGTAGCAACGAACTGAGTTTAATGTGTTAGTAGTGTCCAGACATGCTTGAGAAAGTGAAGCCATGACTTGCTCTGGTTCCCATCACGACTCCATCCGCACCTTGCATACGAATATCATTAGCACGTCCATATTCTGTGTATCATAACCTGTCGAAGATAATGAAGCTCACCCAACCCCATAGCCGCAACCATCCCCCTCGCATCTACAATACCACCCGCAGCCAACAAATGGACCTCCTCCGCTTTACCCAATTCACGAAGCAGCCCCTTCACCTCCGGCACGAGCGCAAGCACACTCGCCCCCTGCGCCCACTGATGCCCACCCGCATCCGACCCCTGAACGACGAGTACATCCACCCCATAGCCGATCGCTTCCCTCGCAGCCTGTACCGTCCCGACCTGCACGAACACTTTCACATCCCAGTTCTCCCTCTCTCTGAGCCGATGAACCGCCGTGATGACAGGCACATATTCCGACGCATTCGCCGGAAACGAAAGACAGATACCGGTTGTCCGAGCGGCACATAGAATCGGAAGTACATTCTCGATTAGGCCTTCTGGCCGGAGCATAAGACAGCCCACACCTACGGGGAGCTTTTCATCTGGAGTCGCGATGCCAAGGAGCGATCGGGTTGCGTTGAGCTCCGCTTGCAGTCTTTCAAGCTGTGGAGACCCCGTTCTGAAGTCGAAGCCGCCGGCTATGAACCCTATAATCGAGTTTCTAAGAGTCTTGGTCTTGCTTAACTAGAAGGGAAGGGGGTTTTATAGGGTTGTACCGTAGCCCCCGGCAGATGAAACGGCGCTTGCTAGACGGCTATATGCGCAGCCTTCCATGGGCGCATTGGCAATGAAGGGGAATTTGGTGTTTGGGAAGAGGTGATGCATATTTTCGTCTCTGTCTTGACTGGTATATGTTTGGGTGAAAATAGCGAAGTAGGAAGAGGGGCCAGCAGCTGTGGTTTAATACTGTCTTTGGCGCTTATAGATGCTCTGATTGGCTGCCAATGAAATCTCTCGGTCCAGTGTTGGAAGTGCGGCCGCTAGTGCACTTCAAGCTACTGTGGATGGACGCCTTATTCCAGGTGGACCCGCCGACCAAGTGCGGCCGCTAGCGTGACGTAGTGGCGCTGTCACTTGCTCCCCATATAGTCTGGACTCTGGACTACTAGGATGGCTGCGGATTGCTTTGATGTCAATACAGATAGATTTGCCTCCAAATAAGTATAAAAGGAGGACCATAGCACCAGATTTCAATTTTCACACAATACTACCCTCTTGCCTACTAAAAACGTTGCCTTTGGTTGTGCTTTGCTTCTTAATCTATACCTCTCATTCACCATGGACTCAAGAACACTCCTATTGATCGGCTCTGGTCCTGGAATCGGCGTGGCTGTGGCATCCCTGTTTGCCCAAAAGCGCTTTGATCATATTGCCCTGTTCGCCCGGAACGCCTCACAACTACAAGCAGATAAAGAGAGGATTCTCTCTGCTGCCGCAGAGGCCGGTCGCCAAGTGAATGTCCGGACGTGGAAAGTGGACATCACCGATCTGGACCAATTCAAGACGGCTTTAGCAGAAGTCCAGTCCTTCGGGACACTGGAATGTGTCTATTTCAACGCGGCTCGCGTGGGCGCAAGCAACTTCTTTGACTTCCCTATTGAGGATATCGAGTTGGATCTGAAGGTAAAGTGGAATAGATTGTCACACTGCAGAGACGTTGTCCAACTAATCAATCAACATTTCTAGCTCTCGGTTACTGCCCTCTACGTTGCTGCTCAATGGGCTATACCCATCCTGGCCAGTACAATGCAAAAGAACCCAGGAACCGGCTTCAAGCCGACTTTTCTAGTGACAAGCAGTCTCTTGCCGGTGGATCCGATCCCGCAATTATTTTCTTTGTCGATGGCAAAAGCTGCGCAGGCAAATATGGTCAAGTCGTTGCAGAAATTTGTTGCGAAGGGAACGCACGTCGGAATGGTTGTCGTGGGAGGGATTGTATCGCCGGACGCGAAGTTCATGAATCCGACTACCATTGCTCAACAAGCGTGGGAGCTGTTCAACCAAGATGGAGCGGATTGGAAATCCCAGGTGAATATTCTGGAGGATAAAATTGATTGGAGTCCACTTCTGTGAGGATATCTTCATATCCTATCCTTCTATCCTAGCATAGTCAAAGACTTCTTGTGACTCAGCAAAATGCGGTGCAGCTCCATTATAGTTTGTGAGAATATCCAGAAGTATACTCTTGGATGAAAATGATAGCATCTTCGGTAGACCATGATACTATATTTTAATGCTTTTGTCGGTACTTCTGATGTAAACACCGACTATACTGATCCCTTGTACAACCAAAGACCATGCACAACCATGGCTTTCCACCGTCACTCCGTATAATTATCTATCATGAGCTGGGTTAGATTATGGGGATGGGTAGAGCCTATAGTTACTTGCCTTAATCTTAATTATGCTGTGTCTATACGATGCTTTGCTGGAATACTAATCGACTATGTTCTCTTATATATTGGTACCTGACAAGCAGATTCCTCTATGTCCATGTTTCTCTTTCATTGTACCTATATTGTGTCGTGGTCAACAGCTCCTGTTTCCCGATTCTGCATTCATATACTACAAACTTTTAAAGAGACAAGCAGGTCCCGCATTAGGGTCCAGGTGCCTTGGGATTGTAAACAATAGCACATATATTTGTGTTGCATGTCGTGTGATGAGGGTAGCATGTCACTATATACATGTGCCCTTAAAGCAAACAGTTATGATCCTGAAATTATCGCATGTCAATAGGTACTCAGATATGCTCAGGCTGCATCCAGAAAGCAGCACTACCGGGATGTTCCTTCCGCAGGTTCTGGAAGATTAAGGCATAATAGTAGCTGTAAGGAAGGTGCCAACGCGTGCTGTAACATACTTCTACCGTAGCTTCTTATATCCAATATACACATTATAGTAAGAGATAGTCCTCTGCTCCTGCCTCTAATTCTGTAACTGCTGCGACTGTAATTGCTCCTTTTTAGAAGCTGAAATCTTTCCATCTGCCGAAACCTCGCCTTGTTCCTTAACCCCCCTTACGATGCCCTTTTTGAGAATATGAGATGGTGCTCAGTCCTGGCTACCCTTCCTATTCTTTCCAGCGTCGTTCGGTGCCTTTCAGTCAAGTCTGTTGACTATTGTATCATCATCAAGGCAAGTGATTCTAAAACCCTTGTTACGATCTGAGACGGTGTCAATGATGAAAGAATAAGCGTGATGATGCTCAGCTTCGGCCGACTTTTTCAGTTCTTCTAAGTGTGCGACTGCCTACATATGACACCGTGTGACGACACAGTTGATGGGGAGAATATGGGTATGTGTGCTTAGAAGAACACCGGTAGCGAGGGTTGACTGCCTAGCAGGTGTCATCGCTGCAAGAAGAAGGTTATGTTCGTATTGCGTCAAGAGGACTATCCTGCTAAGCTTATACCAGGCACTGACTCAAAAATTCAATCTACAATCTGGTCGGCCACTACCACCTCTCCCTTCATACTCTTCCATTCCATAGTCAATGCCCCAATCCCCGTAGCACACGCACAGGCAACCCCAACATAGAACGCATTAACCACAGCCGAGTTATAACCAGGTAATACCAGAGCCAATTGTTTATCGCCAACCACCTCCCGCAGAGCCGTAGCACCCACCGTCACAACATCCCGGGCATCCACCCCTGCAATGCCAGCCACATTGCGGGCCAGACAATTCGCAAAGACATTGTTCGCGACCGAAATCCACAGCGCACCACCAAAATACTGCGCGAAGAAGACCAACGAGATACCCGTCGAGACATCCCCTGGGGAAAGCACAGTCTGCGCCGCAGCAGCGGGCTGCTGCATGCCGAGCCCCAGCCCTAAGCCAAAGCAGACCTGGTACCCGATCCAGGCGCTGTGGCCGGTCGTCGTGGTGAAAGTGGTCATCAGGCCGGACCCGACCGCCATGAGGATGGACGCGACGATCATGAACGGAGTGTAGTATCCGGATCTGGTCACTCCTGCGCCGGCGACGATGCTGCCCACCACCAGGCCGATGATCATAGGGAGGGTCATTATGCCGGATTTTACGGCGCTGGCGTCCTTGATTACCTGGAACCAGATCGGGAGGTAGTATAGTATGACCATCATTGCGCCGTTGAGCATGAAAAGGTACCAGAAGCCGGAAAGGATGCTGCGTTGGAGAAAGATCCGGGGTGGCACTGTTCCGTTGTCTTGTTTCCATGTTTGGATGCCGATGAAGCATAGCAGGAGGATTCCTGCGATGACTAGGAGGACTATTACTCGGCTGTTGGCCCAGGCGTAAGTGGTGCCGCCCCATTGGAGCGCGAGGAGGAGACAGATCATTCCGGGTAGGAATACTGCTGTACCGAGGGGGTCTAGCTTTGCAAGGCGTTCGCGGGTTGAGAGCTTCTTATGTGGGGGGTCTGGGAGCTTCAGGATTAATGCGATAATGGCCATTGCGACGGCGCCGATGGGCAAGTTGATGTAGAAACACCATCGCCATGACACGTTCTCCGTGAAGGCGCCGCCCATCAGGGGGGCGATGACGGACGCAATGCCAAACACAGCGCCGATGAGTCCGGTGTACATGGGTCGTTTATGCAGCGGTGCGATATAGACGATGATGACGACGCTGCCTGACATGAGTCCGGAGGCACCTATGCCGGCGATGGATCGTCCCACGATGAAGGCTGTTGAGGACGGTGCGGCGCCACAGATTACCGAGCCAATTTCGAAGAGAAGTATGGCACTTAGGAAGACCCATTTTGGGGAGTAGAATGTATAGATCCGGCCGAAGACCAACTGGAATGAGCAGCATGTGAGCAAGTAGGCACTGCCGTACCAACCGATGTCGCCGAGGGAGTGGAAGGTATCTGTGATGCGCGGAATGGCCGTTGCAATGATCGTTCGATCCTTTGATTGTCAGTGTTGCTGGTAATGCAAAGGAGGGGGATCTCTAATAAGCATACTAGTGCTACCAAGAAGATTGCCAGGTATAAAGCCATCGTGATCATGATTACCCTCGGCAACGGAGGATATTCATGGAGATCCTGCTGCGAATGACCCTTAGTTTCATTTATCTGCTCTTCCTGCGTACCCGTATTAAAATTAGCTGGAGAAGGTGACTTTTGAGGATCGATTGACTGGTTGTCGCTCGTTGTAGCCATCTTGCGGAGGTTTGTAGTTGTATGTTCGTTTGACTGGTCGAACATACACAACACGGTATATTGAGAATATGTGTAGTGGAGCTTAAGGAAGGGTACAGATATGCCAAAACGCAGCAATCGTTCGCTTTATAGTTCTCATTGACGCCTAAACAACAACCAAATCAGCTATCTCGGGACATGGCTCGGGGTCTATCTCGGGTAGTGAAGTGTCTCGGGCCCGAGACCAAAGTAAGCCCTAACAAACCACCAATAATGTACCCTGAATATATATGACCTGGTTTTTATTCGGACACAGTCTCTTGGTATCTCCTACAAGCAGCTCGGTTAAAGGTCTTCTTGTCCCGAATCCTTATCCGAAGGTTCTGAACTCAAACATATCAACGGACAAGAGCATATCATCTCAGAAAGGCTAGAAACATGTTAGGCTTACAGGCTGGTGTGGTCTGGACAACGGAACAGGATTTTTATGGCTAGAACTGATTGAGATTCTCTAACCACCATTAGAAGAATATTTATGCTATTCCCAGTTTCCTGAAAGACTATATCCATATGCAGTGTTTAGCGGAAGCCATATGGAAATTGCCATCTTTACTTAATAAATTTCCTCCTTTTCTTTTACAGTTAAAACTACATCTTTCAGATCGGGGGCCAGTGTGCGACACAACAAAGAAGCCATTGGTCCTCATCGATTAATCAAGTTCCACAAAGTCAATTAGCCTTGACCGCTATGCTATTATTACTTAAAACCAAACAGATCCCTATATCATCTTTGCATTCGACCCGATTTTCTTACGCTTTTCCTATCAAATTATATTTCCAGCTGGGATGTCTTGTTATTCGCTTGAGGGATACAGTCAATCTCTTTTTTTCTGGCTGCAGCTTCGCACGAAAGGAATGCGACCGAATTGCTACCGAGCTTACTGGTGAAGCTGTGGAGCCAGTTCGGCTTCAAGGGGCGTTCAGTTACACGGTAGCGACTGGGAAGCTCCTTGTACAATTTCGTGTCTCTGAGTCTCTTTTGGATACAAACACGCTGAGTCTCGCTCGGAAGATCTATGGCAACATTGTGCCCGCTTGTGTTAATAAAGGTGTTGTAGGAACATCACCTTCACTCCCTGTCTATGTCATGGACAAAGTTCCTGGAATAACCTACACTGAAGCTCCTTTGACAACACTTCACTGTATTTCATGGCAAGAACAAACCGTGTCGGATTTTGCAAGATATTTTGCCAATTCATGGGTGAACCGCCTCGTGGAGCCTTATTGCTCTGAGTACTCGTTGGCAGATCTTCAAGTCAAACTTGACATCCTTTTACGACAGCCCCCTTCCCGTTTCACCAGCGTCATTTCCAAGCTTCGCGAGGAACTTCCAACAATCTTTGATAAATTCAATCTCTCTCTCTCTCTCTCTTTTTCTTTTTTTTTTTTTTTGAATCTGTATCCTTATTTTCAAAGCTAGACTCGTAGATCCCATCACAGATAATTGCTTTCTTAAAGCCGCTAGCAGGACCGCTGTTGTATTATTCGTGATGGAGGTAGGCCTCTGGTAAACGGAAGATTTTGTAGGGACCTGAAGAATTTCTTGGAGTCACTGAATAGAGCTTTGCTTGCTGTTGACCAATCCATAGGTTGACCACTATGTATAATTTCAGAAAGTGTAATTGGTCGGTAATACATCCAGATACTTAACACTCTTACTGCTCCTGTCCATCACACTATTATTATCCGTGACCGGGATATTTCGATGCCTACCACTATGAAGCAAAGGCCATAAAGAGGTAACTGATAAGAGTCGAGAAATATCGGCTGTTCCATCTCTAGTAAGGGTAAGAATTCCGTTGTAATTCCATAGATGGAGGTCCCTTGCAGTAGTCAGTAATCACTCTTGTATCAACGATAGTGATGTAGTTGAAGATAGTACAACCGAATTATAGAAAAAGAAGGTCGATACGGGGGACTCCCAGGCCCTCTTGTGTGGCTGGAAAGACGGAGGCCAGAAGATCAAGGATCACTGCCCAAGACATGCGGAGCGCAGTATTTGAATAAGCCGAGAATTGCTTAAGTTTAGTTGTGCTATCTTAAAGTATTTCTGCTCATATACTAAGTAACTTAAGCAATTCAAGCAATTCACTGTACACTATCACTTCAGATTGAAACATTCCCAAATATAATACTTCAGAACTCAGTTAATGAGTGGCTTGAAGAATGCCACCTAATAGTCTCCGTTGATTGAACTGGGCAGAAGAAAGAGGCTGTTTGTCCATCTCCCTGGTCCATGTGGCGAAGAAAAAAATATGAGACCATGCTAGAAAAAACTATTCTTGGGATAAGTATGATTCCACATAACATGGGAAACACTATGCGAGGGCTCCATTAAATAGCTCTAGTCGAAGAGCTTCCAAGTTTTGCCTAACTAAAATTGTTTGTAGTTATGGTTTCACGTGCCTTGGAGAGATTCCCCAGAATACCTCTTTGTATGGTGATTCAATAGCCAATCTACCGCCCATCGCTAAATCATTTGTGGATGTTTGAGAGTGGAATTGGAGATCCCAACATTGGGATTCCTATAGATGTGAGACAGTCTGGTGATGCTTGGGAAGTCTATGATAAATCCGGCTCAGTTCCAGGGTTTGCAACGAATGATCATCTAGAGGGGTCGGGATTTATCCTAAATAGTTGGATAGGGTTTGCCTTGGCATTTGTTTATTGAATCCATCGAGACAGTCTTTTGTTCCCGTTCCTGAATTACTCCGTAATATCTCCGGCCATGGCCATTCTACATCGTACGTTAAGATCCCACGATTCTGGATCATAATAGTAGGAAACAGTCGAAGCGAGGCCGGAGATTAACCATATAGCCCAGTTGAAAGTCGGCTAAATTCATGCCTATCATTTCTCCACATGGGTTGACATTCTGCAGCGATTCTTCACTGACATCATGGTCTAGGTAGCCTTAATTTATGCCGGAGATATTAATCCACTAGGGCCAAGACACTACGGACCATCCGATCCTTCCACGTGCAGCAAACACACCCTGAAGAATAGTAGTCTAAGGTCTTAGTATGGATTACTACTGCATTAGGCGCATGCTCGTCACCAACGGCAGTTCTGCTAACATCGAAGATAGATTAAACCGTCGGAATGCCCCTTTTCTTCATCCGAGAGACGATCCCCAACATGCAACTACATAAGGCCGGGCCCAGCGACGATCACTCCTCTTTTTCTTCACTCGCGACCTGACACTTTTCTTCACAGGCAGTATCGGAGAAATCAAAGAAAATTAAGGGGGGAAAAATGCGCTCTATCGCATACCTCGCTAGCGGCCTTCCGGTCGCGTTGGCAGCCACTTCCGGCCAATTCGATGTTCTCTCCTTCAACGTAGCCGGTCTTCCAGCTATCCTCAACGGCAACGAAGTGCCCGGCGATAAAACCACCAATTCCGAAGCAATTGGAACCAAGTTCGCCGAATACGATTATGATGTGATCCATGTGCAAGAGGACTTCAATTACCACGCTTCTATATACAAGACCGACACCCATCCTTATCGCACTGCCACTTCCGGAGGGGCGGGCATCGGATCGGGTCTGAACACACTTGCCAACTACCCTTGGGTGGACTTCGAGCGCGTCAAGTGGGAAACTTGCTCTGATGCCTCTGGTTCCGATTGTTTGACTCCCAAGGGATTTACCACAATGCGTGTGCGTTTCGACGAGGGTGTCTACGTGGACTTTTACAATTTGCATGCAGATGCCGGGTATGGACATCCAACTCTAAAAAACTACAATTATCGATACTGATGTGTTGTAGTTCTGAGGCCGACGACGTCAAAGCCCGCAGTGCCAATTTGCAGCAGGTGGCCGATTACATCGGAACTAATTCCGTGGGCAATGCGGTTCTGGTCTTTGGCGATACTAATGCACGATACACTTCCTCTGGCGAGAATATTCGTGTATTAGGAACCGAGCAGGACATGAAGAACCCTTGGGTAGAGCTTATCCTGAATGGTGTCGAGCCTACGGAGGGAGATGACCCCTGGATGTGTGACAACCCGACGACGAACAACACCTGCGAGACAGTTGATAAGATCTTGTAAGTGATCCTTGAAGTTGATGTATTGCGGAGTCACAACTAAATGATTGGATAGTTACCGGGGAAGCCGTTCCATCGAGTTAAGCTCGACCTTCTGGAGCTATGTGGGCACCAAGTTCGAACTTGATGGACATATTCTCTCCGATCATAACCCTATCGCCTCCAACTTCACATGGACTTTGTCTGATTCAGTGCGCCAGAGTGATCTTTTCGGTGGTCCTCATGGGTATGTGTTGTTCTCAGTGCCCATATATTGACATTGCACTAAGCCAAGTATCACAGAAACTGGTTCAACGACCTTCCCTCTGTCCCCTCGTCCTCAACAGGCCAGAACAAACCAAGCAAGATCATCCTTCGGGGAGAAAACCGTGTGGACAGTGTAGGTCTAGCTTTGACTTCGGGTCAGACTCACACCCACGGAGGAACCGGCGGCACTGCAGCTGAGCTTACCCTGGCGGAAGACGAATACTGGACTCAGGCGAAGCTCTGCCAGGACAAGTACGATAATCATACTCGCATCTTTTACTTGTTGGCAACGACTAGCGCTGGCAATACGGTCAGTACCGGGAAAACAACAGCCGACTGCAAGGAATTCACCGCACCGGATGCGTGGCAGATTGTTGGGTTCTATGGACGGGATGGAGATGAGGTCGACGAGTTGGGGTTCATTTATGCACCACAGTGATGGGGACTGGTGCTATGAATGGATTGATCATTCCTTGTATATAGGGTGAAAACTATTCTAAAAGATGTGCCGGGTATTTAGAAAGGTCTTGCAAGTACATCAGTTTTAAGTGAGATATCGTCTTCTGGTGGGCGATTTGACACACTCGCTCTCTTGATATTAGTTTTTAAACATCCGATACACAGCAGTGACTACCTAAATTGGAAATTGGGCATGATATGGTCACTTGGAGTGATTCAAATGGAGATACTCTCCATACTTGGATATCAAGTGCCGATGACAATGCTTGTCCTCGGGTCAGGACTTTCATTTTCCAATAATACAAGGCAGGGGTTATGTAACAATATTGGAACCATATGCGCATGTATGTTGTGGTTGGTTCTGTAGGCTTCCTCTTTGAGCCAAGATGTGTGAACTGATCTACCAAGGCACAATGCCTTGATGGCCCATTCACTGACATTAAAGCCAAGTGAATTTAAATAGGTAGCCTTAGTAGCCTTGGGCAAATGGTAGGCTATTAAATATCAGGGAACAACCCTGTCTTCTGATGCCAAAGCTCGCATTTTGCCTTGTTCTAATATCTAGTTTTCTTTAGGTCTTAGACTCTTCTTAGGACACACCATACTTCACAGAAAAGTTGCGCTATTATAGTCATTACGCTAAAAAGTCGCAAAGCTTGGCAGGAAAGTGCCCTCGTGGCAATGAAGATGTCAATGACTTTCTTCGCCTCACTGGACAGATACCAGCTACGCTAGACGAAATCGATCAGATTCTAAAAAAGCTTTTCGGTCACCTCTCCAGGGATGAAACAACCCAAGTCGATAGTAAGAACTAAGCGTTTCAGCCTAAGCCTCTGGAGAAACTGGACAGAGTGGTTACAGATTTCTTTCGCGATGGTCCTGCTGCTGCATCTGTCAAATTCGATGGTCTTCAGGGATGTGTGCGGGCAGGACGAACACGGATTCAACAGTCTAACCTGCCTCCTTTGTTCATGAGGCCACTCATTGCCAACTTGGCTTGCTGCTACACTTGTCCTTCTACTCGCCTCGCCTCCAGAGCCTGAGTCTATGTTTGAGGCTCTGAAGTTTCTACCTGTATCTCTAGGCGGGCTTCCCACTATGGCAGACGTTCTCAAAACCCCATCAACCGACCTCCCTAAATAGTTTGCGCAGGCGAAAAAAGCAGCGATCGATGGTAAGGTGGGCAAGGTGACAGTGCTAGGGGTCAACCTGGTTGATGTGGAGATGCTTGAGCGTGGTGAGAAAAACAGCTGCGATATGAACTACTCATCGTTTTCGCATTCGTTTGTTATAGCTACAGCGAGAGAAGGCTTCCGCATTTACCAATTATGGTGAGAGTATAGGTATCGCCTAGATCAGTATTTGATGAGTGGAGGCTCTAGACTTCGGTCCTGGTAGGATGCAATGGCTTTTCTTAAGATGTTTCAGAAGCTTTTTCGCTTTCCCAACTGTAACATATCCGGAAATATTTAACGATGTACAGGAAACCTGGACGGATGAACTGAATGTTGCCTATAAAAAATGTTTCAAGGTGGATAGTAAGTCGATGTGTGGTCTATGGAAGCTGCAGCCTCCTATTGTCCGACCCTATCGACCTTGGGCGAGAATATTTGAGATCAATGACGTGAAGTCGGAGAATTCTGAAAATTTTACTTGGGAAGAATATGTTCAAAGAATCGAGGAGTTACACTACTAGAGCCAGAATGGTATCTCTAGGGAAGGGGTAGGAAAAGCAGACTGGACCTGACTGAAGTAAAGGGTTGTGTTACGTTGGTATTCAGCGCGTCAAGAGAGAGAATCAATAATAATTCAAGGGATATATCGTAAGCAGGTAGAAGCATGACTGCCCTGAATAAACCACCCTCCTACTAGCCTCTCAGTTTCATCTTCTACGCCCTAACTTCCTGTTATTCTTCGCCCTTGACCTCAAGAACTTGTTCAAACAATCGCCTCTAAATTTTCCTAGTTCGTATTCCTTTCTTCGCCCCTATATATCAATTCTTGCATATGCATTGGGTTCTTAGTCGCGTAGTTGGTCTTCCCAATATCGTCTGTACGTTCGAGGAACGTTATATGTGGGCATAGGAAGAATGAACGAGGAGGGAGGATAAGAAGACGAGAAAGGGAGAAAGGAGGCACCAAGGGGGTAAGTCGTATTCAACTAGATTGACCCAAAGAAACTTGTCTATTATTCTATATTCTTTCCAAAGCAAAAGCGGAAGTCATCCGAGTGTTCCGCTCCTACTCAGGAAATCAACGAAAGACACTCAGATATAGAAATCAATACCGATGATCAGACAGATCAACGCTACAGACTCAAGAAAATGTCAGCTTCTTACAGGTCGCCAACGCTGTTACTATGTCTGTTTTGTATTTATTACGATCCAAGTACAGGCGCTTTTCCAGATCCAGATCCCCACTATGTATAAGTTAATATAGACTCGGGTTGTTCGGGATGCCGAAAGTCAGTATTGGACCCATGTATATACTAGTCGTCTTTGAATCAACCAATATAGTATTGCTCTGTGCGTTTAGGATTGTCTTTCTGTTGAATGTGGTTATTTATTATTGATCTCAAAGTATTTGTGGTTAGTTTATAGTGTACCAGAAAAGTCTCTATTCATTATGCGCGTGTTATTATGAGCTGCCTCGAGGAGTAGCAATTTAGAAATAATTATCAGATATCAGACCATGTATGTCACAATAGAGTTCGATTGCCAGGGCTCGGCAGCCAGGATCCGGCGCCCAGATTGCGTAAGCCACGAGTCTTGCTGCCTGCATCCATGATAGAGCAAACATATGACAGGTGTAAAACCAGCCAATCCCTTCCCTCCATTACAATATTCTAGTTCATCATCTTTTCCTATCAAGACGGGTGGCGTAGCGGGACGTGGATTCCGTAAAGTCCGTTAAAGTTCACTTAGGGTTATGTGTAGCAGTCTGAAACTCGGCGAGGATCCCGTGTCCAGTAGAGAGGGAAGGGATTGCTCCGTCGAAAATAGGGCAAGCCACCAGAAGATTAAGAGCCGACTGTTTGGTCCCTTCATTTATCTTAGGCGGCTCTTCAGATACGCGAGCTCCACAGGGCCCACTGTTTTAAGCTCATCTTTACCCCCTTTACTCATTCCACGGCACACACGGGCCATGTTCCAGGTTTCCAGAACCGCAGCACCCATTCTGACCATTACCGTTGAAGAAGAGTCTCTGGGTGTTTCACATTTTGACCCTTTTTTACCGTTTTGGTTGTTTAAACGCTGGAGAGCTTCGGATGGATCCTGTTCTGAACGTTTGTTCTCTTAGAGATCAGATCATACGAAATGGACCCGATGGGGACCAGAAAATCATTTCCTATTCATCCACGGAGCTCTATATTCTTTGTTGTCTATGTGAGTATCGAATTCTGGATGACAGCCTATATAAGCCATGAAGCGCCCCATGAATAGCACTCCATACCAAACACAACTCTGCCAACTACCAACCTCACACATTCATTTCAATCGTTTACTCTTTCGCTCCTTCTCTCCAACCAAGTATTCATAATGAAGCTTTCTCTGAACCTTCTGCTCCTTCCCATGGCCCTCGGCGCCGCCATCGGTGTCCGTGACGACAGCCGCCGTGGCAACTACACTGTCCAGGGCTTGGGCGAGCGCAAGCAGGCCATCGTCAGCGCCGGCGGTAACACCATGGACCTGGCCATTGCCATGCTGGAGAAGTAGGTTCTATTCCGTGTGCTTTCAAACCAGGCATCAGGAACTATACTGACCGGCAAACGTTAAAGCGACAAAATGGACCCCAGCACCTACCCGTACGGTAAGTTCATACCCACCTAGACTGGCCCCAATGAGTCAGATATTCTAACAGGACACAGGCGACGGCAAGACCGGTGACGCCACCAACTTCGGTATCTTCAAGCAGAATTGGATGATGCTGCGCACCTCCGCCAGCGAGTTCCTCGGCCAGAAGGTTGAGGATGTTAAGAACGGCGAGGTCCTGAAGTAAGACACTCTACTGCGTGGCTCTCAACAACATCTAATATACCCGCAGCACGAACCTTGAGAAGGACATCAAGGCCCGTCACGACGGCGAGAAGAAGTACGGCTTCGATGTCTGGTACGCTGGTCATCGCAACGGCGCGTCCGGTCTCGAGAACCCCAATACTCAGGATATCAACAGTATGTTTTCGCAATTCTGCATTAGTTCCTATGCTAACCAGATGAGTAGACTACAAGAGTGCCGTCAAGTGGATCAAGTCTCAGATCGAGAGTGACAAGAAGTACCAGAGCGATGACACCCGTTTCTGGGTTGATGTCGTCGCTATCTAAGCGGCTCATCATGGTGGTGGCTATTCTTTAGGGAGAGATGATATGTGGCAATTGGGTATTCGGCAGACTTCATTCTTTATCTACATTTAGACTTCGGGACTGGCTCCCTGTCGCTCCTTTAAATTTACTTTCAATAGACCGTGCTATTTTACCTAGGTTTTCATTGTTTGTCCGTCTGCGCTACAGTCTCTAGTGAGAGGCGGAATCAACTACTCATAGATGCTTGCGACTGAATAGATACTGGCTGACATTTTATACCTATAATACATACGTATGATCACCTACAAAAAGCACATATCACATGAGAGATAGAAACATCCCTAGACTCCCAATAACACCAGGCTTCATCATCTCCCTCAACGTTCGAAAGCTCGAATGCCTGGTACCTCTATACATATTTGTCCTGTCCTGATCATCCAACGCAGCGAAGTTATTGCCACTCTTTTACTCTAAAACCTGTGTTCAGAAATGCACCGCACTACTAGCAAGGTAAGTCTCGAATTGCGCTTCGGATGAAGTCGTCCCGATTCCCGCAGTTTCGGGGCATAGGAGACCCTTACTCACTCCACGAAGGTGAATGCTTATAGAACTAGCCTTCTAGCCTTCAGACCTCGTAGATGCCGGGTCGATTCGTGGAGGGTCCGATGGATTGTCGGGCTTCGTAACATGCAGTGGTGTTGCGGATGGCCAAGATTGTCATTGTTTCACCGAGGCAGACAATATGTTGGGGTGCTTTAAGGCCTAAGCCTACGTTGGCACCTGTTGTTTTGGTTGTTTGGTCGGTGAAGGGGCGGTTGGCTATTCTGGGTGGTGGAAGCACTGGCCGTAGATGAAGCAGGGGAAGGAGATGATTTCGAATGTGTGTGTATTGGACTTTTATTACTTTATTGTGACGGCAATTTAGTGTCATTATCGTGTTCTGCGAGGTCGTGTAATTGCTTTCGTATATCGGGCTTTCAGGGCTCGAGCAAGTCGTGAGCCTTGGATGTACCGGCTTTAACGTTGGCGGAGATTAGGTCGGGTATGTCCAAGTGGGGTCGCCATAACGACAGGTCTATGTTTCTTTTCCCTGAAAGAATGTGTCGTTCGTAAAAGATAACGTATAAGCCGAATAGCAGGACCATAAGGTATGACCTGATACTCCTTAGAAAAAGCACAGACGTCCAATCAAAGACCAAATGATAAGATCACCGTCTAGGTAATCTCCAGAAGGGACCTTCGGCTATTCCATTTCTGTCATGACGTCTTCTCTGGCCCCTATCATCCCCACCCGGAGGGGGGAGGGGAGTTAATGGAGGCGAAGACGCAGTTTCACCCACACTGCTTATATCTTTCACCTCTGCCTGAGCTAGAGCAAGACTAGGCTGGGTGGATATCTTATCGAAGTGTGGTGACTGAGCTAACCATCGATCTACGATAGTAATCGCTTGACATGTCACCGGGTAGCTATCATTCTCCGAACAAACAGTCACAGAGTCATCGTCAGAGTCAGTCAGGGTCCCTTCATCTGCATCCGGATTAAGGAAAAGCTCTGGGAACATGAAGTGCAAACACCGCTCAATCCGATCCAATCGCTTCGATATATCTTCAACCGTCGACCTGCATTCGTCAGGAAATGGGCATCTTTAGGGATACAGTGCGAAAGCAGAAAAGATATACAGACCTATCAATCCACTGCCCTTCATTCTCCGGCGCAATTGTTGACAAACACTGGTCCCTGGTAGCCCTCCAGTGGTGCACGCCAACGGTCTTCTTGCGACAGTCTTGACTATGCAATAGACATGACTGGGAAAGAGATACGTTGTCACACTATCGGGCTATTCAGTCGTCGTCCAGCAAGATGTAACAAGGACTGTAGAGAAAGAAGCTTATCTTACCTTAATCTCTCTGTCCCAACGACGGTCGCTGTTTGAGTCAGCAATGTCCTCAGACTCAGTAAATTAGAAACATAGCAGATATCTCAGACCCACCACCTTTTTGACATAGACCTGGCCCATAAGTGCCGTTTCTTGACAGGCCTGTCCGCTTCGCCGTCACTATGGGAGTCATATGCCGGGCGCTTGGCGCCTGTTTGGTGGCAGGCAGTTGTATCGCTCATGGTTCGTGCCATGGTGGTTTATAAAGTCTGTATGTTGTTTGTATTCTGACATATTTCACCTTGATAGTTGAGACTCTTACTCATTTGTACTAGTTATCGGCACACGGCAATTACTCAAGCGTGGCGGTGTTGTTCCGGGAATGTCCAGATCGTCCCGCCACTCGGCACAATTAGTCAATGTCTACGGAATTATCGGAAGTGGTGCCTTCGGGGCTACAGGATTATTATATTCTTATTCTACTGCCGGATATTACGGATAAAACGAATTTAAAATAGTGATCTTATTAATTCCTTTTGTGCAACCTTGACTGTTGTGTCGGGTGGTCCTGAGCAGGCACGGAACTCTCGGAACTAGGGACGGAGAAGCCGGGAGTGAGACCGAAGCGTTCGGCGGATCTTGTTGTGGTCCTCTATATACTCCAAGATTCCGGAAATATTGGGACTACTTGATCATAAATCCGAACCGACAATTTATTTATGATTGTACTATGAAGTACGTGAAGTGTTATCATGAGGTTGTAGCCCTTCACAAAACAATACTATAATCACATTCAACTCATTAACTAGTACATATTATCAAGATTATTAGTTTACAACAGACATCAATATACAGTAAATCATAAACAAACATAGAACATAAATCACAAAGCAGTAATGGAAATACGCTTGGCTCCCGCATTGCCATTCAACAATGCCGATCCACTGGTCTGTCTCAAGTGGTTGTGGTGCGTGTCCAGGTCCTCGACATCAAAACTGAATCGACGGGGTCGCTTCCACATGCCAACGTTCTCATCAGTATCACTGACCGCTTCGAGCTGCTCCGATGAGAGGCCAAACTTGGTGGCGATTTGCTGCACCCGTTCTTGTGCGGCCGCCAAATCAATACCACCACCCTGGCCCTCCTTGGCAAGACGGGCTTGTGCATGTTGAAGCAGCTCCAGATGCTGTGTAACAGCCTCGATGGCACCTTCCTGGTGATCGGTGTCACTGTTGAGCAGCTCGGCAAGTGCACTCTCGTGCAACGCTGCAGCAGCGAGGTGGTTACCCGAGGCTGTGTACAGGCCGGACAGCAGCTTGGTCATTTCCAGAGTTACGGGATCACAGTTACCCCAGACCTGACGGAGGTTGTAGCATATGTCTTTACCAAGCTGTGTGGCGGACGAGACGCGACCCCGGCAGAAACGTGTTTCGACCAGTCGGCGTCCGATCCAGACAACGGCTGGAAGTGACCAGGTCTTTTGGACAATACGCGAGGTCCAGAGCTCGGTGAGAATGGACTGATTTGTTAGCATATCTCTTTTCGTGTATTTATGAAAAAAACATACCTCCAGATCTTCAAACATTTCATGTTCGCCTAACACAGTGACAAGGTCGTTCAACTCGGCGAAAGGAAGCTCGGTGAACTCCAGCGGGAGCTCCTTGGTCTTGGTCATAATTTCCTGTACTAGCATCTGAGACTCCAATGACATATTCTTTGCAGTCGTGTCATCGGTGCACTTCTTGGTCTGGTATCCGTTCAAGTACATGCAGAGCTTGATAGCAGTGAAAATGCTTTCCGGAGTACGTAATCCATCGGTTAGGTGCACAAAAGAGTGGAACACCCCAGTCACATCTGCTGCGTCTTGGAATTGCGAACGATCGCAGAGGTCCTTCACCATACCCATGGTCGAAGTAACTATGTTGATGTTATAGTCGTCCTGGGGTGATTCCCGCCTGCAAAGAGCGTAGAATTGCTGTACGGCGTCCTTCTTCCGGAGTGGCTGTGCAACAGACAGAGTGTTGCAGAAGTAATCGTACAGCCTGTCCTGGGTATCCTGAGCAGAAGAGTGGCGCTTCTGGTTCGTTTGAAGCGTGTGGAGTTTCTCTCCAGCTGCCAAGGTAGGTATGAGGTCATGGCTGGATAGACTTCGTTGGAAGGTACTGTAGACCTGACCCTCACGGGACAGTTCGTCAAGGATCTGCTTCGACGAGCGTTGTTTACCAAATACTTCCTCAAATGCAGCGACGAAGACGGCTGGTCGATACTCATTGAGTGATTGGCGTTGGGCGGCAGGTGTCTCGTTGATTACACGCTGGTGCAGGTCGTCAATCAGACGATTGCCCTCGTCGATGTAGCCTAATTCCAGGTAGATCTCGGCTAGTCTGTGAGCACGGTCAACCAATGCTTCATGGTTAGCAGTAACATGCACCACTTCATCAACATGCTCATCGAGTAAAGCTGCGCCCTGACGACGAGACTCAGGAGATGATTGAATGGCATGCATCCGGGCAATCTCACGTAACCACAAAAGTGTGCTCGGAGCGGAGAGCCCCTGCTGCTGTTTGGCCAATGCTAGCTCTTCAGCATACAGGGAACGTGCGGGTTCCGAGGTGTCCTTCTGGCGGAGATACAGCTGCGCCATTTGGTGCTTAATGCTAATTGGAAGGGGCTCAGACATATCGGGCAAAGCACGCGAACTTTCTGAGGGTGACACCCAGTCATGGGTATTCAAAACTTGGTGGTAGTTGTTAATCGCTTCCCCGGCATGCTGATCGCTATCCGCACAGAGAGCAGCAAGTGTAAGGGTTGCATCGCGTGTCCGTGCATCTGTGGGGCCATACAACTTGCGGCATAGCTGCTGGTGCTGGGATGCAACTTGGTATCGCTCTGCGTGGCTTCCTTGTCCAGACTTGTTCAAAAGCTCCATATAGCCAGTGTAAGTCTTGGGTAGTAGTCCCTCAAGCAGAGCGCGGTCATAGCCGTCCTTTTCATCAAATCGTACAAGGGTGGGCCACAGATGACGGTAAACCTCGAGGGCCGAATCCCACTCTTTGTTCTGCACATAGATGTTTACCAAGGCCACTGCAGCCTTGACACCTGAAGAACTAACTTTGCCATCGCGGATGCAGGCTTCGTAAATGTGACGATAGCTGCTCTCAGCTTCGGTTTGCTTATCCAGTCGCAAAGCCAAATCACCTTCATAGTATCGAGTGTCGATTGTGTGCTTGTCGTGGTCGCCTAGTCGAGATCCAAAGAACTCACTGACCTGATGAAGAAGAACCAGGGCTTTTTCAAACTGGAAGGTAGTCTCGTAAAACTCAACCACGGTCTTCACAACAGCGGTGACTGAAGGGACGGCCACTTGATCTGCCGTGATGGATGCCTTGAATGCATTACCATATACCACGGAAGCAGTCTGTATATCCAGTCGGCGGAACAAACAATATGCATGATCCAGGGCCAAGCTAGCCAGAATAGGAGCCTCACTTGAAGCGAACTTGGATTTCGACCGAGGGTCTTCCACTGTGGGCCATGCATGCTTCAATACGGCCCACGCAGTGTCACTACCCTCACGCCACTCTTCATCACGAATGTGTTGTGTTGTCAGTTGGTGGCAGAGTGTTAAGAGTGGCAAGGTTCGTTTCTCAGCTCCCGCAGAGGCAATAGAATCAATCCAACCTGGAAGGAGCTTACTCTCTTCGGGGGATAAGGCCCCCATGCTTTCCACATTACCCTGGGCCGGGAGGGATCCTCTGGCCAGTGACTCTGCCAGTGTAACACCTCCGGCGAATATTGCTGACCGCTAGCTTGGTAATATTTCCAGATCTGCAGCGACAACGCGCGATCCATATCATCCAAGCCCATTTCGCGTGCTTCCACGCGCAGTTCCTCCGCCCGTGAGGCCATCTCCGGAGATCTGACACCACCCTCAGCCTCCAAGTCTGCTGACAGTTGGCGGAGAATGGCAGTCGCTTCATCAGGTCGTCCCTGACGGCGTAGGAACTGTGAGTAGTAGAAAGCGACCTTTGTCTTTTGATCCCAGGCGGGACTCGTGTCCACATTGCGCGCTGAGAGGCCTGACCAGAGTCGGGTCAAAACAGCTTCAGCCTTGGCAGGCTGCCTGCTATCTTCGTACATCTGAGCCAGTCGTAGCGAGTAGGCAACACGACGTGGATCGGTGGCATCCATAGAGCGCATCATGGTCTCATACTTGTTCCGTGCAATTTCTAGAGCCATCTCATCGGGAGGCGCGATGTTAAAGTGCTGAGTGAGGAAGTCAGCAGCCTGCATCGCTTCGGACGAATGGGGACCGTATGTCATGACCGTCTGTCGGTAGAACTGTTTTGAAGCATTGTATGCAGCATCTTCTTGGTTATTATCTCTGTGAGATTTAACCAGTCGATCAAGATATTGCAGGCGTTGGGCAAAACTAATGTCGGAAGAATCCCATCCAGACAGTGCCATATCACGTAGCGCGTCAGTCTTGAAGCCAGCTACTTGGCCGGCCTTACCACGACCCTCAGGAGTGGCTACAAGCAGCTGCTCCAACTCGCGGGTGATAGGATCTGATGCGCCAAGCTGCGAGCGGCTACGCATCCAGGCCTCATACAGATGATCATTTGCCCAGGAAGCCTTCGCCATGTCTGCTGCACGTGCACTGAGGATCAAGCTCTGCAACAAGGCAGGTGAATCCCCGCCCAGTACACTGCGGCGTACTGTAACAGCTAAACGATACAGCTCTACAATGCTGGATCGAGTAAACTGAGACTCGCGATTTGTCAGCTCCAGCTGAGCAAACAGGACTGAATCTGGCATGGCCTGACGGAATGGCTTCGGGAAATTGAGCTCGTCACGTTTAGAGCTAGCAATTGGAGACGCTAGCATATGGGAAAGCCAGTAGCGAGCCGTGTACTCCAACAAAGTATATGCGTCTAGATAACGGTCACGAGCAGTGACGCGAAGCTTGTCCCAGGAAACCGCAGTCTCATCAGTGAGCGACTTGCGAACCCAAGCCAATGAGCGCATCAATAGATCATAGTGGGCTTCAGATAGTGAGAAAGGCACCTCCTGGCCCATCAGTGCCCGAGCCTGTATGTGGTCGCGAATTAGGTGATGTTTGAAGGTAACAAAACCGTCACGGACGGAGATCAACCGAGCTAGAGGTTGGAAGACTTCACGTTCAGTATTCGATGGGCGGGATGCAACCTTCAGGGTCTTCAAATCCACTGCCAATAGCTGCTCTATTTCCTGG